GAACAGCATGGATCCTGATCAGACTGCGCGGATGCGCAGGCTGGTCTGGATCCATGCTGGTCGCAAACCCATTATGTTGGTTTTGTCGTGACGCGGCTCATATATCTTAAGTTCTTAACACTTAACCTGCTGGAACCTAATGTGATTATCGTTTGCCATCAGATAGTATATAGTGCAAGGCCAGCCTGCAAATTTCGTGCAGTATGACTATAGGCTCTACCCATCAGATCAGGTGCCCGTTCGTGCCTGAAATAATACACGGATGAGCATCCGAGATCTCCCTCTATCAGTAAAGCTGGAACGTCGCCATATGACCTATACTATGTTGGTGTGACGTAAAACCCAATCAAGATCAATTTTTGTATATTTCTATTAAAATCCCTTAAACTTTATATGAACTGTTCCAAACTAAAAGCAGGGCTATTCCATCACATTAATTCAGCAGCAGGATAAGGGTTAGCATATATTAGCACTGCCAGCATCATACAAGTAAACAATATTAATTACAATCAATATGTTTCTATACAATACAACAATACAACAAAATTACTTTTTTTCATAAATAAGAGGGTACAGCAGAGTGATGCAGAAAGTTAATTAAACCGTTCTGGCATAATATTTTTAAATCAAAGCTTAAAAGTATTTTTTCACATGGCTGAAAAATAGCTTTTTCCTATGACATTGTCTGCCACTTACTTTCGGAATTACATGTGCAAAACAACAAGAATATGAAAATTAATTAAAATTACCAACGGCAATGATTTTATATTTAAAACTTTTCCCCCAATAAATAATGTAACTATCACAACATATTATGAACATCAAATGTTCTTACTAGCATATTCAAATATATAGCCAATATGTGTTGATAATTAACTTTGCCGATTGACAAATTCATTGATAAGATCTCTTGCCATAAAATAAAAGTTACTAAAAATACCCACTGCAATAGTCAATCAGGCTTTGTATATCAAACATTTAAAAAGTAGTCTTGACTAAATCTCCGCCTGGAACTATTATTTTGTAATATCAGAACAGTAAAAAGAAGCAGAAAATCGAGTAAAGTCAATTTACACACAATCAAAAACTAGCTGCGTAGGCTCTTACCATATAATTCCTGCAAGCACTTGAAATAAAATAAACAAGAGGGCCATGATGGCCCTGAGGTCGCTCACCTGTATATAGCCCCCCCCCCCCCCCCCCCGGGGCCAATTTTTACCCAAGGGCTTTTATTTGTTTATTTGAACAAACTTGGTAGATACCCATAAGAAGATGTTTCATGCTAAACATCTAAGTTCTAGCTCATTGGGTTTTTTAAAAGAAGATTTTTAAGTTTTTACTATACACATATAGTTAAAAACAATGACACCCCTGGGGCAGGGCCAGTTTTGACCCCAGGCTTTTATTTGAACAAACTTTGTAGATATTTACTTAAAGATGTTTTATGCTTAATATCTAAACTCTAGCTATTTGGGTTTTTTCAAAGAAGATTTTTAAGTTTTTGCTATACACATATCAAGAAAATCAATGACCCCCTGGGCGGGCCAGTTTTGACCCCAGGGCTTTTATTTGAACATACTTGGTAGACACCCATTAGAACATGTTTCATGCTAAATATCTTAGCTCTAGCTCTTTGGGTTATTTAAAAGAAGATTTTTTAAGTTTTTACTATATGCATATAGGGAAAATCAATGACCCCCGGGGCGGGCCAATTTTGACCCCAGGGCTTTTATTTGAACAAACTTGGTAGACATTCACTAGAAGATGTTTCATGCCAAATATCTAAGCTCTAGCTCTTACAGTTCTTTAAAAGAAGATTTTTTAAGTTTTTACTATATGCATATAGGGAAAATCAATGACCCCCCGGGGCGGGGCCAATTTTGACCCCAGGGCTTTTATTTGAACAAACTTGGTAGACACTCACTAGAAGAAGTTTCATGCCAAATATCTTAGCTCTAGCTCTTTGGGTTCTTTAAAAGAAGATTTTTTAAGTTTTTACTATATGCATATAGGGAAAATCAATGACCCCTGGGGCGGGCCAATTTTGACCCCAGGGATTTTATTTGAACAAACTTGGTAGACATTCACTAGAAGATGTTTCATGCCAAATATCTAAGCTCTAGCTCTTACAGTTCTTTAAAAGAAGATTTTTTAAGTTTTTACTATATGCATATAGGGAAAATCAATGACCCCCCGGGGCGGGGCCAATTTTGACCCCAGGGCTTTTATTTGAACAAACTTGGTAGACACTCACTAAAAGATGTTTCATGCAAAATATCTTAGCTCTAGCTCTTTGGGTTCTTTAAAAAAAGATTTTTTAAGTTTTTACTATATGCATATAGGGAAAATCTATGACCCCCTGGGGCGGGGCCAATTTTGACCCCAGGGCTTTTATTTGAACAAACTTGGTAGACACTCATTAGAAGATGTTTCATGCCAAATATCTAAGCTCTAGCTCTTAGGGTTGTTTAAAAGAAGATATTTAAAGATTTTTCTTTCGGTTGCCATGGCAACCAGAGTTCTGTATGGAATTAAATTCTTTGAACAATTTTTAAAGGTGACCACCAAAGGAACATTCCTGTGAAGTTTGGATGAAATTGGCTCAGTGGTTTATGAGGAGATGTCATTTAAAGCAAAAGTTTACGGACGGACGACGGACGGACGGACGACGGACGGACGGACGCCGGACGAAAAGCGATCACAAAAGCTCACCCTGTCACTTTGTGACAGGTGAGCTAAAAACATTACAAATTCTGAAGAACACTCATAAATGGCACACAAAAAGTTTAGATTTAATAATTGTAAAATGCTTAAACATAACTGTAATTAGTTTTACAAAAAAGAAACATTTCATTACAATAGCTGCCTTTTTGTGAATGAATAGACAATAAAATAAAACCATATTACTTTGAACAAATATCTGTAATAGCAATCTTATACAATAGTACAACATGTATCCTTTCTAAATATGCTTTATTAAACACCTCTAAATTTGCCTTTATAAAACACCTCTAAATTTGCCTTTATTAAACACCTCTAAATTTGCCTTTATTAAACACCTCTAAAATTTGCCTTTATTAAACTCTAAATTTGCTTTTTAAAATAACTCTTAATATGCTTTATAAAACAGCTCTAAATTTGCTTCAAAAAGCACCCAAACATTATTGGGATTGTTTTTTGTTTGTGGTATATTTCTTGTATAAATATATAATATCTAAAACATGTAATCTCTGACAGAGGTAAAAAACATAACAAATGAATTTGAATATATTCTGAATAAAATGAAGTTAATGTCATACAATGTAAATCAGAATATTCTAAATTTTGTTGTTTTTTTTTCCTTCATAATTTTAATAGTAGTTTTAAATTAAGGTCAGGCATATGTTGAAAGTATATGATATATGAAAATTCAATGCAAGTTATATAAATCTACATGTATGTTTGTGCGTTTTTCACTCCAGATGTATTATTGTGCATCTAAATACATTCATCTTACTGTACATGAATTGAGTAGATTTATCAGGATCCATGCTGTTTCCTTACAAACCCTAGCGCATGCTGGTTTGGATCCATGCTGGTCGTAAACGCACTATGTTGGTTTTGTCATGGTGCGGCTCAAATGTTTGTTAAACAGAAGAGTCAAAACAAGCCATGGTGGGTCTTTCTTTTTTAATTTCAGTAACCATAGGTTACCCATTCATTTTTCCCAATAATACAAGTAAGCATAGAAGGTCTTTATTTTATCAATAATTTTCCTTTTATTCTTCCCATTTTTTCCTTCTTTTGTACTGTATTACACATAACAAAACAATGAGATAGATGAACTTTATGACAATGACTTTTTTACAAACAAATATACAACATATAAAATGAACAACATATTTCTGCAAATTTATATTTCTATACCATGCAAATAAGTGTAAAAAAATGTCTAAATAAATAAATTACAAAAATAATACATGTATAGTTTGGTGGACTGGCTCAAAGACAAAGGAACTTTAACAAGAGGACCAGTCTTATACTGGATCATTTGATTGGCCAATTTAAAAATCAAGTTTGAAATTGACCAATAATAACCAAGCACCAATGTGAGACTGGTCTTCCATTTTTATCATTCTCTGTTTTAATAAACAATAGTTGATTTCCCCTATTTCAGAGATCAAGAAAGTCATGTATACACCAACCTAGAAGACAATCAACTGTTTCCTGATAGAAAGCCTGAGCTGTCATTTCCAATATTTTACTTCTAATAAACATAATTTAACCATTGATATCTAAAAACAACAACAGGGCAATATCACTGAACACGTTCTTTAAATGCATTGACTGCATCCTTACTTTTCTATACACTGTATTTTGTACAATGAACTAGCCCTTCTTTTAAACTTGAACTGTCTATTTAATCTGTTATCTGTTAACAAAATCAATAACAAAAAACATCAAATTAAGTAGCAACCAGCACACATGACAAGGGTTGATGGCAAAACTGTTGTAAATCCTTTATTATTTCGTATAAGTTACTGCAGTTTTGCTGTCAACCCTTGAAGTATATGGTCTGGTAAGAAGACTTACAGTTGAGGTAAAGGCTAACCTTGCTTTATTCTGGTGAAACAGAGCACTATATTGCTGCTTACATATTCAAATTCCTAAAATATAACTGTATCAATAACAAAGTTCAACTGCTGTACATTTCTGGTTGCATAGCGAAAGTACCCTCTTTTTTCCAATATCCAAACTTTTGAAGATTTGGTCAATTTTTGCAACAAGTTTTAACTATTTTTATTTGAGTTACTTTAAAGAATGGAAGTTCTTTGTACACTGTAGATTAAAGGTCTTGAATGAAAATCATATGAGTAATTGGAAATTTACAATTCTACAGCAGATCTATAACAAGTTCATTATAACATTCTTAATATATACTTCAAATTACTGAGCAGGCACTTTTATACTTACATGTAACATACTTATATAAGGCTATGCTATATAAAACAATTCATCTCAAATAATCTTAAAATGCAAACATTGTTCAATAATAGGACAGAATATGATCTTATTTGAGCAATTTCACATTTTTCTCAATTGGATTTATACATCAATTTAATACTTTAATTAATTAACACTTTCTTACAGGAGCAAGTCAGCTTTTAAAATCTATAACATTTGCCCAAAACATTTCTTTTCAGATAAATTACAATTGTACATGGTCTATTTCATTTTGCGGCAAATTCAAGTATTAAAGCTATCATATTTATGCTGATATCTGCATATATTGAAAGAAATAAATGATAGAATACAAACTAATTCCGGAAAAAATACTGCTGAAATTAACCTTACCATAAGTTTGTTTAATATGTATCATTATTTTGATAACAAAGATCACATAATAGTGAAAAGCTAACTGTAAATGGGCTAAATTTAAGTAATGGAATTTTGAAAAGGTTTGTTTTGTTTGGTTTGGTTTTACGCTGCAACAACACAATTTAGGTGATAAGTCTCCGAAGCAGGAAAGATAATTTTGCCTAACCTTGGGTGTTACAAACATAAAGCAACACCAGGGGTCAAAACTATGTCTCCTCTAATGATCACACAGGGATAAATGGTGGCTGCAATTCTGATGCCTCAACCCTTTTGAAAAAGATCCTACTACATGTATAAGTAGTTAAAAGGATTTCAAGATATAACTTTATAAATCTTTAGCCTATGCTATATCATTCTAGAAACCAACCAGATTGTACGAATGTGCCAGATAGCTTTGCTTGTTACTTGTGGCATAGGCTTTGAATTTCTTTAAATCATTTTGTATTGTCAGAAGTACTAACCCTTTAAAAAGGAACACACAATTAAATAACCTTGGTTCAATAAATAAAGACTTAAGATTACATGCATTTAACAAGAGTGCCATGACTATCCTTTATTGCTCACCTGATAGTAAGGTCATAAATGTCATAATTTGTTGTGCAGTTACATGTAATACACTTATACATGTAAATTACCAGTCCAGTTCAAAATCAATCATAATACACAACAGACACAGGGTAATCAACAAAGCTCACTTAGTGCTTAGGTGAGCTAAAAAAAACAATACATAAATTAATTAGCACAAATACAGTATGAGTGTATTATATTAACTAGCACAGTTAGCAGACAAAAATATGTTCCATACAATATATTCAATGGTAATTTTTTACAATTTGAAAGTCTATATGTACATGTGACACACACAGTAGTCAGAGGTATTGACAATAAAATGTCGTACAATAAACAATGCTACAACCTGTTAGTTACTATAATATACTTAGCAAATTTATTACAAGATAACCTGACCAGAAGATAACAAATTTCTAAATTCACCATGCAATGACGTGTGTTAATTACATGACTGTAACTATTTGGATATCTTGTACACATCTAACTGCTATTAAAAATAATAGTAATGAACAACCAACCCAGACAGACTTAAAAACATTACTGTCTCTTTTACCAGAAAATTAACAAAGATCATCTACTTAAGTTTGTATAAAAAAATATGACTTACATAATAACTTAATTCATTTTACAGCCTTCACTGGCCATAGTCTCAAACAGAAATTAAAGCAAAGATACCTTAGAAACTCTAAAATGCTTAACATAATTCTACAAAGTTACTATAGTAAATAAAATACTTGCAGAACAAGGCAAGAAATAGTGCCAAGAAATCCTTCAAATATTCTAATACCCTAACAACTCTTAAGATTAAAATTTGAACGAAATCACACTTTCCTAAACCCTTGCACAACTTATTTATGGAATGGTCAGGTCTTGTTTTGAATTTGGAACAGTCCACTAAGTTCAACCCCTATCGCAATAAATTCTACCAATGCAACCAGTGCAGACCAAATACAACAGCTGGTACATCCATACAGCACAGTTCGCCATTAAGTAAGTACTTATTTCAAAATTATACCTTAAATGATGAATGGTTTTGTCGTGATTGAAAGACAGAGGGGTCCATTTAAGAAAATTGGCATAGAAAAGGTTAATGGACTTAAATATCAAAATATGACAAACCAGCAAGCATTAAAATAGTCTGGCGAGAATGCAAATACTGAAATAGGTATGGAGTGACTCTATACAGGTAGCCCTAGTCTGTCAATATTAAGTACAGCTGTGAGGGGCAAGAGCTGCTGACTTCAAATCACTCACTCCTCACTGCTGTGGGTTCGAGTCCCATCTGTGAATTCTGACTTTTTCATATCCTGCTAGCTTACAGATGGTCTGTGGTTTTACTCAGGTGCCAGCTCATGCCTGAAATAATGCATGAAGGGGCACCCAAGGTCGTCATCAACTAGTACAGCTGGAAAGTCCCCATATGACTGTAACATTGTTGGTTTGACTTAAAAACATTCAAGCAAAACATGCACAATGTGCAAACTTACATCATTCCTAAATGAACCTTAATGATGAAGTGTCAAAAATGTTTAATTCTACATAATTCTAACAATAAATAACACAGCACACAAAAAAAATCTATTTTGCCCTAGTCTAGTAGGTTGCACTTTCATACTACCAATATTTACATATCCAGCAGAAAAATGGCACAAACCACTAAGTAAGTAAAGACTTGAACAGCTTGTATCAGCTGGTAATGATATCTGTCAATATATCATAATGATACACAGTGTAATTATGTAAATGTAACAATGTCTTACATTATAATGAAAATAATAATAATAAATAGTACATTATGCACTTAATAAATTTGTTCCCTTGAATCCAGATTCCGGCATTCCTGATTCTTTCACAAACTCTTCCATGAAGCTCGGTTCTTCCTGTGGCTCATCAGCAATGAGATCAATTACAGAGCCAGAGGCAACCCTCAAGTCACACAAACTGCGGTCATTTTCATCTAGCAATCTACCATCAACATAAAGATTCTGATCAAACGGAGGCACTGAGAAAAGCCCCATGATCTTTAGTTTCAAGTCCTTAAGAGTCTGCTTTGACGACATGATCACTTCCTTCTCGCCCCTAGCCCTCCTGTGCCTCTGACTTTTCCTCACAATCTTACTACCATTCCCATTTTTCATCACCTTCTCCGGTGGTTCCGTGACAATTCCCTCACTAGCATTATGCCTCTTCCTACCTGAACCTGGAGCTGATTTCTCACTAAACTCAGGATCATCTTGGTTCGAATCACTGTTTTCATTGGAGTTTTCTATAATTTTCTCCAACTTTTGATGCTTTCTTACATAAATTATTCCTTTCTCATACTCAAACAGTTCACTCTCCTCATAACTCAGTCTTTTCAACAGACACTCATTGCATACATTAGGCAGTGTAAGAATCTCTTTCTTACCATTCTCTTCATATGTCACTAATGTTATTTCATTGTCAAAACTAAACAAAGAGGTTACTTGTCTCCATTCATCTGCAGTGATATATGTAATTTTATCATCAGATTTAAAAGAGCCATGCTCAGCAGGGGGAAACAAGAATCCGTTATGTTCACATAGTAAAAGTTCATTTACAACTTTACAAGGAGGTTCATTTTTTAATGGGTCTCTAACAAACTGTCTCCAAGAGTTCACAAATTCTGTACTGAGTACAAAAGTACCATCAACCGGATGTATAGCTGTAGGTCTCTTTCTGTCATGAAACAAATCTAGTAAGGCTGCTTTCTGAGTGGCTGCTAGTTGCCGATTCATTTCTTTCCACTTATTATCTTCCTCAATATTCTCTGTACATTTTACACAAGATGGACTGGTTATTTCAAACTCAGCACAATTTGGAAAGTAATGTTTGAGCCTCAGCCAAACACATTCTGGAACAGCTTTTCGACAGTTTATATCTGGATCAAGGCCACCGTGTTCCTCACATAATAAATCTTCATTAAACTGTAAAGAATCTTCATCATTGTCACCCATTACATTGTCTACATTCTTTTTCCCACTGTTTGCATCCCTGACCTCAGATCTCTTGTCAATGTTTGACTCACTTTTCACTTTTCTTACATCTTCAAAGATCTCATTAGTTGCACCAAGACTGGATTCAGACTGTACATTTCCCGGAATATTTTCACCAATATTCGAATCAATATGATTTTCTAATTCACCGTTTTCAAGATTTAACTCATTATGTCCAGCTTCACCATTTTCATCAATTTTCCCTTCAGAATCTGTAAGCAATTCAACAGCTAATCTTCTCCAACTTCTGAAAGAACCTTTCCCAACCCAGTAACATTTTTCTGCTGCAAAGTTTGTTTTCATCTTGCCTGATATGAATTTATCGTCTTCAACAATTAATTGTTTAGTTCTTATCAAATTACATTTTTGTTGAATGCACTTAAAGCACAATGACTCATCACCTTTCAATCTTACCTCACCTCCATAGATACTGATCAATTGACTGGCCCCTTTCTCTGACACACATTTCATTTTCAATGACTGATCCGGACAAAGTTTGCCATGACTGCAAAGGGAAGAGGAGAGCTTAATGGGTGGGGCTGTTGCAGGATCGTTCAACCATTTTGTCAACCAGTTCATAGGGATCCATTCAAATTCATCCCAGCTGTCTCCACTATAAGATAAGTCCTTATATATTGCTTTAACAGTCTCTTGCTTCTCTTGACCTTTTGCAATGTTCTCTTCTTTCATAGAGTTCATTTCATTCACCCATTTTTCAAATTCTTCATTGTCTTTTTCAACAAACTTAACAACATAGTTTGGAATCAATTTTTTAGTATCAGCTAAAACTGAATTTGTTATACAATTTTTACTAGAACTTTTTTCACTATCACTTTCTGGAACAGAATCAATCATTTCTCTTTCAATTTTTTTCAAGGCTTCGTCAGACTTTGAGGCTGACAGGTCACTTTGTATTTCAGTCTTAAACATTGAGTTTTCACTGGTTGAAGATGAAACATTATTATAACTTATTTCTTCTTTTGTTTGACTGGATAGAATGTTTTCTGATTTTGAGGTTTCTGCTTCAACACTGTTACAGGTAGAGGGAGGCCGTCTTGTATAAACTAACATATAAGCATTCTTAGAAGAGTGATGTCCCTTTGGAATGCGGGGTGATTTCTGTTTTTTCCCCTCCAAGTCTTCCTCACTGCCTAATTGAAGATTTTTACCTTTAATTTTCTCAATTTCTTCATCATTAAATTTGAACCAATTCTGACTGTCTTTTCCTTTTATATGAGCCACATAATGACCACTGTATGCGGATGGACCTCGGTGAATTAACACGGCATTCAGGTCATAAATTGCATTCTGATTTTCAGGTAAATATTCTGTCATATCCAGCACATCCGGAAACTGTATACAGCTATTCAACTTCTTTTTGGAACCAGTTTTAATATCAAAAACAAACCTCAGTAGCTGAAGATTCAGAACAGGTGGCAAGCTTTTTAATTCAATGGCTCGCGTGGCATCTTGTTTTTCATTACATTTGCTGCACATGTATTTATTATCTCCTTCAAGTTTCTCTACCTCAAGAAAACCTTTTAAAGATTCAGCTAGAGATTTGTGTCCTTGTATATTGAGATCTAACTCATAGAATTCCGACATGCGCTCCGACGAATTATTGCAGTTACTACATCTTGTAACATAAGCATAGTTTCCGCAGAATTGATCTTTAATGACATTGGTGGTGTTGCCCTGGAGAATGTTTTCTTCTAACACAGATAAGAACAGTTTAGAGAATTCTTGGGCATCTTGCTGAAGACCAGCATCAAGGCCAAGGTGTTTGATAAACTCACTCGGATCAATGTAACGTCTCTTTGACAGCTCTAGTAATCCAAATATAACCTAAAACATACACCAAACTATATAATAATATGATATTTACATTATAAATATGATATCTAACATTTTATAATAAATCATGTTTGCTTAAATAATAAAGATATTCATTAAAATCAATTAATCAATTTGAACTACATGTATGTCCTCAGAATGCTACATTATGTTTAATAATACAATTTTAACCCTGAACCTGTTAAACTTAAACAGATTTGTCCAGCTTTTATTTTTGGAACATTCCTTTTCAATTTTGGATTATCAAGGTAAAAATTAGTCATCCAACAGTATAAAGTTTGGTCAGACTGCACTGACAAGTACATTGACCTTACTCTATACTAGTGACACAGGCTAGTCAGTCTTGGGTCCATCAGGGTTGACATTTATGTATTTCTACAGCTTTATAACTTTGTATCTACATGTACATGTATAGACATGACCATCAGCTGCCATTACAAGTTAGTCAGAGTTTTATCAAAATGTCACGGAATACTTTGACCCCAGCAGTTAGTTATTTCTTTCTCTTTCTGTTGTAAAAGATGATTTAAATCTAAAACATTCCAGAACCTATTCCTTCTCCAAATTTAATCAAGAACAAAATGATGGGCCTGAAAAAAACACCTGCTTACAGATTTGTTTTCCATATATCAAAATGACCTAAAAAAATAAATCTTGAAATAACATCAGTCAAATCAAAGAGATGCATGTAACAACATTTCTCAAACAAAAACAAGTGTTTGGGGGCCTAAATGAGGCATTTTTTCACCATTTTAGAAAGCAAAAGGGGGGGAGGGGGTGAAAAAGGCGTAGAAAGGCGTATATATCTGGTAATGGGTTAACAGAAAATGACGAAAATACCTGAAAATACCCAAAATCGAGTTTTTCCATGTTAAAACATGGCCTAACATATAATTTTGAAGAAAAATTGCTGTATTGTAGATTTTTTTATTTTTTTCATTTGAGCATTTTATGAAAAATGGCCGTTTTCATTGAAAAGTCTCCCGTTACAAGTTCAAGTTGCTATAAAACTATAAAAACTGCTTCAATACTAATCAAACTTGGCACAAATGTTGACTGGACCATTGCCTTTGTAACGACATGCTCAGTCTAAAATTTTCTGTTACCATGGCAACTAGGGGACATCTCAAAATTGCCAAAAAACACTATTTTGTGTTAATTTTTTCCATCAAAATTGATTTAAAAGTGCTGCCACTTCTCAATGGATTGAGATAGAGTCAAAGGCTTTTCAGCATTGGTTACACGTTACCTTATGATGGACCTGGGGTCATTTTTAGTCTCTCACAAGTCCAAAATTTTCTCAAACAAAAACAAGTGTTTGGGGGCCTAAATGAGGCATTTTTTCACCATTTGAGAAAGCAAAAGGGGGGGGAGGGGTGAAAAAGGCGTAGAAAGGCGTATATATCTGGTAATTGGTTAAAGATTAAATCTTGAAATAATCTTAAAAATTCGGACATGAAAGAACCTAAAAAAAGTTTCTCACCTGAAGATGACCACAGACAGAGGTTGGCTTCCACTGATCTACAGTTGTGTTGTTACCCCAAATTTCCCTCCATTTATATATACCTGTAACATAACAAATTATATGAAATAAACTTATAATTACAAATAATTCAAAATGAGCTTATATAAAAACTTACATCTAATTGATTTGAAATACACTTAAAATGTCTGATATTCTTTGCACTGAGTGTTAGCTGCCCAGGGACAAGTGCCACCGCCAAGCCCGGCCACACTCAACTTTTTATAATTTCTAAAGGCAAACACAGTCATAGGAGGAAGAACATTGCAGAGAGAAAAGATAATTTCCTTGTACAGAATTGAATTAAAAGTTCTTGACCTTGACATCAAGGCCATTTACAGACTAAGGACACCTTAGTTTTTTAGCCAGTATGCATAAAATCTTTCCATCAATAACAAAGGTAAAGCAATTTCAGAAAAATAAAAACAACAACTTGACAATGAGAGTCAGTATCACATGAAGGTCAAACTTGAATATTCATCATGTCAGTTTTGCAATAAGTGTTTTTGTCAAATGTACAAAAACTGAAAAAAGAACAAACTTATCACTGACAGTGAAGGCAAAATTGAATTATTTTACCTTGATTATCATGGACATCTTAAGGTCAAGATCATTTTTGAATTATTCAATGTATTTGTAGTCTCAAAGTGTTGTTTTGATTAAGTAGGAAGCAAGTCCTAAAATAAATGATAAATTTCTAACAATTTCAGTAAAATTCAATAATTTGACCTTCATGGTCAAGGTCATTTTAAGAGAATCAAACCTGAAATTTTCAACATGTCAGTTTTGTTGTTAGCATCCAGGTACCAGTATACATGTATGTCCGATACATTAATAAATAACAAATGTATTACAATTTATGTTAAATTCATTAACTTGACCTTGACAGTCAATTTCATTTTAAGGTCAATGTCAACTTAGAGATTTTTTTTTGGCTTATTTTATAGCCTTATATGGTCATATTCCCAATGGAAAATAGTATATCATTTTCCCAATCCACAGGGAAAAATTCCCAATTGAAAGTTACAAAATAAAAATATTGTATAAAGATTTTAAAATCTTCGCAAATAAGGGCTTTTTCACTGTAATAGTGCTTAAATCTTTGAAGATGCCATCATAGACAGTAATTGTTTGCATCCATTTAATCCCTGCAAAATTTCAGTCATGCATTTTTTCCCAATTTTTAACAAAACACTGCTGAAATTCCCAGTTCCATGGGTATGGGTCGTGTTCCCAAAATCCTGGAAAAAATCCCTGCAACTTTAAATCATTCAACATGTAGGTTTTGTCATAAGTGTTGTTTTGACAATTACATGTATATATGAAACAAATCCTAAAGAAAATAACAAAGTTATGACAATTTAATTTACGAACATCATGCCACTTGCAAGTCTTTTCCAGAGTTGTTGTGTCCAAGTAAGCGGTCAATCCATTTAGAAATTAAAAAAATTATATAAATAAATGACAGCAATGGCATCAGGACCCCCCCCCCCCCACAACACCATAACTCTGACTGTAGCAACAAATTTCTCTTTCAGGAAACTATACCACAAAACAGATTTTTATATGTCAGCTGTAACTACGGCTGCATTGTGAAGTTTACTATACAGCAGAAAATATAACAAAACATTTACCTTTCCTAACTGTTTCATTGTGGAACCATAACTGTAGGAAAGTATTCACATAGCATGTAGCACCTAGATTTTTTAGTCCAACAAACATTCCAGGTTTTCTCCTCTCCTCACTGGGATCTTGAACATCATGCCAGCTACTATCCTCAATCTTACCAAACCATACCTTCTCACCTTTTTAAATAATAGAAATGAGCCACATCACGACAAAACCAACATAGTGTGTTTGCGACCAGCAAGGATCCAGACCAGCCTGCGCATCCGCGCAGTCTAATAAGGATCCATGCTGTTCGCTATCAGAACCTTATAACAAGTAGAGAAACTGATAGCAAACAGCATGGCTCCTGATTAGATTGCACGGATGCGCAGGCTGGTCTGGATCCATGCTGGTCGCAAAGGCACTATATTGGTTTTGTCGTGACGCGGCTCAAATATTATGTTATTTTTACAGGGACATCAAATCATGAATATTGGTGCTGAAATGTCACATAATTTTGGAGTTAAAAAGTTGAAATGTAACAACTCATCAATTTTTAGGTTTTTGACTGAAATAGTTTTATTTTTTCATGCTCCAGTCAATTTGTCTTTTTGTTCTTTGAATTTATACTTCAGAGAAGAACAGAAAGATATAAAGCAGGGTTCATACAGACATCCAGTGCCAAAATTCAAGGACATTATAAGCACTTTTTCACATTTGTTGCACATATATCGACAAAATATTCAACCTAAGATGGATAGTTTATTCACCATTTTTTCTTAAATTATACACATTTTCTGGCAAAAATTTTAAGGTTTTATAGAAGAACAACAAAGGGTGCATCAAATACAAGTTAGTTCAAAACAACTGCAATTTGTCCACTTACTGTTACATATGTTGATTAAACATTTCTTTGATTTTGATACTAAATTGGATCATTTTTTTTATTTTGTTAACTATTGATTTTTATCGACACTATGTCATTCAATCAATTTCAAGCATATTTTCAGCAAATTTAAGTACTTTTTATGCACTTTTCAAGACAGTAATCAAATTCAAGGACTTTTAAGCACTTTTTACATTTTTAAGCAATTTCTTTTTTACATTTTTAAGCACTTTTTAAGAAAGGGACTCAATTTAAACACTTTTTAAAACTGTACAAACATGGTAAAGACATAATTGAAACCTGGTAGTTTCAATGAATATTTTTATTCTTACCAAGCCTCTTTAGAATAAATTCTTTTTTTGGTGAAAATCACTAACTTTTCTATCTAAGGACACAGCATGTATTTCATAGCAGAGACATACATGTAGATAGTTATCTACATCTCTGTTCATAGTAAAATCATAGAATATAATACATGTAATTAGTTTCATGATGTCAACACTAACCTATGCAGTTCACACAATATGGATTTCCTTTACACTGTCTTTTGCAGGCACCAAGCTTACAGTTTGGTAGATTTAGCCTATAAGCAGACCTCACATTGCTAAGATTCACATCTTCTGGGTCAGTGGTCTCAGCCCATTGCCAACATTGTTTATCTAACGTTGGTTTTTGAGGCATTTTGTCACCAAGTTATCAATCCTGAAACAAAACAGACTCATGAATAATCATGATCAATGTAATTATCAGACTACTGGTTGAGGACCACCAAAACCTGACAACCACCAAACCCGGACGGCCCCTAAAATGCTTAATTTATTATTTTCTCTGTTCAGTGGTAAAAAAAAAAAAATGTCAGTTACTTTTTTATCAACAATAAATGCATGTTTCTTCTAAAATTAAGTAAATAATTTTATTTCAACCTCCCTAAATGGTAATATTTTAATGTCCATTTCAAAAATGTTGACGTTGAAATTTGGGGGTCAAGAAAGCAATGCCTGACCTCATATACCAGCTATAATCATTTGCTGAGTAAACAATAGAATATTGTTTATCATGTTAAAAATCAAAATCAAAACACCCAAGCTTTAATCTGAATTAAATCATGTCATGTACATATCTGTCCGGACACATGGTACTGTAGTGTAGACAATTTAGGTAATTTTGATACCTTCCTTGTCGAGCCTCAGAAATAAGTGTCAATGCAATCAGAAATAAACAAACTTGTTTGTTAGTTAGGACAAGAACCTAGCTGAACTGTGTCAATTTTTAGGTCTCTATGTTAAAAATTATGAAATATGTACAGAAAAATGTTCAAAAAGTGTCCGGTTGATGGTCCCCGACCAGTAAAACTTAATAAGAGAGGTAAGATATTGCCCCGACACAAAATAACACAATATCTTGTCACACGGTACATTTAGTTGGACTACTTAAAAAACACTTAAGAGTGGCACTAATGATTTGAGGTGATTTGTTGAAGAAAATCATTGCATATCGACCAGCCTTCAGCAAAAAAATAAAATTACCAGATAATACAAGAAAGTATGTTGTTCAGGAGGTCAGCATTCACAAACAGATAAAAGCTTCGTGCATTTTTCAGATTAATAGATATGATGTTTCATGTTCATAATGTCTTAAGTAAAAGGGACATTTTTCTGTGTTAAGTGCAAAAAAATCACTATCTAGAAATTTTATGTAAATTTCATCTATGCCAGTTTAGGTCTTAGACTTAGACCCACGATAAATTGGGTCCTACTAAACACTGCTAAGGACTGCTAAGGACCGCTAAGGACTGCTAAGGACTGCTAAGGAGCCACAAAGGACTACTAAAGAGGCACAAAGGACCTTAAAATACCTCCTAGGCTATTCTTATATTACATGGTATTATTTTAAGTGAAAAAAAAATTATAATTTTAAGAAAAAATATGATTTTGTTGAAAATTTTATGAGTTGTCGGACCGCTAAGGACTGCTCAGATACACAAAAGACTGCTAGGAGGCACAAAGGACCTTAAAAATACCTCCTAGGGTATTCTTATAATACAAGGTAGTATGTTTAGTGACAAAAAATGCATTATTTTAAGAAAAAAATATCATTTTAGTGATAAAATTTATGTTTTTTGAAGAGTTGTCGGACCGCTAAGGACTGCTCAGGTGCACTAACAACTGCTAGTGAGGCACAAAGGACCTTCAAATCCCTCCTAGAACATTCTTATAATATATGGTAGTAAGTTAATAGACAAAAATGTATAATTTGTAAGAAAAAATATAATTTTGGTGATAGAATTTATGCTTTCGATGAGTTGCAGGACCGCTAAGGACTGCTCAGGTGCAAAAAGGACTGCTAGGCAGGCACAAAGACCTATAATATTTCCTAGGGAGGCACAAAGGACCTTAAAATACCTGTTGGGGCATTCTTATAATTCATGGTAGTATGTTTAGTGACAAAAAATGTATAATTTTAAGGAAAAATATCATTATAGTGATAAAATTCATGTTTTTGAAGAGTTGTCGGACCGCTAAGGACTGCTCAGATGCACTAACAACTGCTAGGGAGGCAGAAAGGACCTTCAAATCCCTCCTAGAACATTCTTATAATATATGGTAGTAAGTTAATAGACAAAAATGTATTATTGTAAGAAAAAATATAATTTTGGTGATAGAATTTATACTTTCGATGAGTTGCCGGACCGCTAAGGACTGCTCAGTTGCGAAAAGGACTGCTAGGCAGGCACAAAGACCTTAAAAAATTTCCTAAGGAGGCACAAAGGACCTTAAAATACCTGTAAGGGCATTCTTATAATACATGGTAGTATGTTTAGTGATAAAAAATGTATAATTTTAAGGAAAAATATCATTATAGTGATAAAATTCATGTTTTTGAAGAGTTGTCGGACCGCTAAGGACTGCTCAGGTGCACTAACAACTGCTAGGGAGGCACAAAGGACCTTCAAATCCCTCCTAGAACATTCTTATAATATATGGTAGTAAGTTAATAGACAAAAATGTATTATTGTAAGAAAAAATATAATTTTGGTGATAGAATTTATGCTTTCGATGAGTTGCAGGACCGCTAAGGACTGCTCAGGTGCGAAAAGGACTGCTAGGCAGGCACAAAGACCTATAAAATATTTCCTAGGGAGGCCACAAAGGACCTTAAAATAACTGTTGGGCCTTCTTATAATTTCATGGCAGTATGTTTAGTGATAAAAAAATGTATAATTTTAAGAAAAATATCATTTTAGTGATAAAATTCATGTTTTTGAAGAGTTGTCGGACCGCTAAGGACTGCTCAGGTGCACTAACAACTGCTAGGGAGGCACAAAGGACCTTCAAATCCCTCCTAGAACATTCTTATAATATATAGTAGTAAGTTAATAGACAAAAATGTATTATTGTAAGAAAAAATATAATTTTGGTGATAGAATTTATGCTTTCGATGAGTTGCCGGACCGCTAAGGACTGCTCAGGTGCGAAAAGGACTGCTAGGGACCTTAAAAATTTCCTAAGGAGGCACAAAGGACCTTAAAATACCTGTAAGGGCATTCTTATAATTACATGGTAGTATGTTTAGTGACAAAAAATGTATAATTTTAAGGAAAAAATATCATTATAGTGATAAAATTCATGTTTTTGAAGAGTTGTCGGACCGCTAAGGACTGCTCAGGTGCAATAACAACTGCTAGGGAGGCACAAAGGACCTTCAAATCCCTCCTAGAACATTCTTATAATATATGGTAGTAAGTTAATAGACAAAAATGTATTATTGTAAGAAAAAATATAATTTTGGTGATAGAATTTATGCTTTCGATGAGTTGCAGGACCGCTAAGGACTGCTCAGGTGCGAAAAGGACTGCTAGGCAGGCACAAAGACCTATAAATATTTCCTAGGGAGGCACAAAGGACCTTAAAATAACTCTTGGGGCATTCTTATAATTCATGGTAGTATGTTTAGTGAAAAAAAATGTATAATTTTAAGGAAAAATATCATTATAGTGATAAAATTCATGTTTTTGAAGAGTTGTCGGACCGCTAAGGACTGCTCAGGTGCGAAAAGGACTGCTAGGCAGGCACAAAGACCTATAAATATTTCCTAGGGAGGCACAAAGGACCTTAAAATAACTGTTGGGGCATTGTATAATTCATGGTAGTATGTTTAGTGACAAAAAATGTATAATTTTAAGGAAAAATATCATTATAGTGATAAAATTCATGTTTTTGAAGAGTTGTAGGACCGCTAAGGACTGCTCAGGTGCACTAACAACTGCTAGGGGAGGCACAAAGGACCTTCAAATCCTCCTAGAACATTCTTATAATATATGGTAGTAAGTTAATAGACAAAAAATGTATTATTGTAAGAAAAAATACAATTTTGGTGATAGAATTTATGCTTTCCATGGGGTTTCCCCGGACCCCCAAAGGGAAATTTGCTCGGGTTTGGCAAAAAGGAAACTGTTTAGCGGGCCCAAAAAAGACCTATAAAAAATTTCCTAGGGGGCCAAAGGCCCTTAAAAATAACTGGGGGGCATTTTTAAAATCCCATGGTATTTATTTTTTATGAAAAAAAATGTAAAATTTTTTAAAGGGAAAAATTTTAAAAGTGAAAAAATTCATTTTTTTTAAAAAGGTTGATTTGGCCCGCTAAGGATGTTTCAGGTGCAAAAAACAACTGCAAAGGGAGGAAAAAGGGCCCTTAATCCCCCCTAGAACATTTCCTTTTTTAATTTTTGGGTTTATTTTAAGTTTTAATTTAGACCAAAAATGTTTTTTTATTTTTAAAGAAAAAAAATAAAAATTTTGGTAAATTAAAATTTTATGCCTTTCCCCCGGTTGGGGTTGAGGACTGTTTAAAGGCCCTGCTGGGGCCCAAAAAAAAAGGACGGGCTGGCGGACAAAAAAGAACCAAATAAATTTTCCCAAAGGGAAAGGAAAAAGGCCTTTTAAAATAACTTTTGGGGCATTTTTAAAAAAAATTTTAAATTCTTTGGTTTTATTTTGTTTTTAAAAAGTGACAAAAAAATTTTAAAAATTTTTAAAGGGAAAAGAAATAAATTATATTTGAAAAAATTTTTTCATGTTTTTGAAGGGGGTTATTGGGGAAAAACCCCGGCCTTAAACGGAATCCCTTCAAGGTTTGGCACTTTGAACCAAATTTTGAAAGGGGGCAAAAGGACCTTCAAATCCCTCCAAAAACATTTTTATTTTAATAATGGTTTTTAAGTTAAATTTGACAAAAATGCAGTTATTATTGTTAAGTATATATAGAAAAAATATAATTTTTGGTGATTAGGAAAGTTTATTGCTTTCGATTGAGGTTATATGCAGGGACCGCTAACAGGTAGAGGACTGCTCAGGTGCGAAAAATATATAAGGACTGCTAGGGCAGGCACAAAGTACCTATAAATATTTCCCAGATATATATAGATGAATCACACAAATCAAATAATATTGCAAGTCTTAAAACATATCAAAACATCTGTATTGATATACAGACACATATCATGACAGAATAAAGAAAAAAAAGTTTTTATACGAATGTACAAGTACATATCAAATAGTGGATATAAAAAAATCATATTTTGGTGAATCACATACCATCTTTCTTATATGCCTAAATCATTGATCTAGGCTAGCATGCATATCTGTGCAGTCTGACAGATCAAATCTTTCAAAAGCTACAATTATTCATTGTTATACAAGCACATTTCATTGTATCAAATTTTAAACACATAGCAAAA